CTTCAGCACAATACCTATCCTTGGCTACCACATGGCTGAGACCTTTCCTCAACTGTAAAATGGGGCGAGTACCCCCGCCTTTCTTAGAGGCATACCAGTAGGTGCTCTAGGATTATCAGTCAGCTGGGCAGCTCCACCCTGTCGACCCCACTGTGAGCAGCTATCGGTGAGTAGCCAGGACACCTGAATTTGAGTCCTGGCTCTCTCTCAATGTCATCGTGAAAAAGTCCCTTCCGGGGCCTAGTTTTCCCACTTCTCATTCCCACAAGTGTTCGGGGAGAGTGAGGTGTGTGTGCTGAATGACTTTTAAGGTCAACCCTTTTGGGGCTCGCCATCCCAAATTCTTGGCTGGGCGTCGACCTCCCCTTTTCGTGCTGCTTTGCAAAAGAGCTGTCCCTGCCACCCAATGACCTACGCGGTCCCCAGGGCCCAACTCACAGGCGGGAAAAGACAGTGGGACCATTTTTGAAAGGCCCATCTCCTCAGGAGACTAACAATGCCTAGGCAGGTGGAAAGGGGCTGCAAGGCCAGAAGAGGCGGCTCTACCAGAAAAAGTCACAGGCCTCAGGGACAGATCCCGCAGCCCCTCACATCCCAGGGCCGCCTGCGACATCCCGAACGGCCCGCCCGGACGTTTGTACTCTGTAGCCCAGCAAAACTTGAGGCCCTCAAGGCGCGGGTCGCCGCTGGAGCAGGTCGGGGGGCTCGGCCCTGGCCTAGGCCTCAGCCTGACTGCGAGGACCGGGGCGGGAGGGCTCGGGGCCCCTGGAGCCGGGAGCCCAGGGGCCGGGCAGAGGGCGGGGCGGCCCAGGCCCCGCCCCGGGCGCGCACGATGGAGAAGGGCCGCCGGCCTTGGCCCGCCTCGCCCGTCCTCCCTCCTGGCCGGGGGTCGCTGCGGTAGCTCCTTCCATTGTGAGGGGGAGGGGAGGCAGCGGAGGTGGAGGAAGGGACCCCCCGGGCACCTCGACCCTAGGGCCGGCGGCCCTGCCTCCCCTCCCTCCTCGGGAGCAGCTGGCCCGGCATCGCCCCCACTAGCCTGGGCCGGACATCCCTCCTTGGAGCTGTACCTTCGGAGTCGCTGCCCAGCGGCTCCTGCTTCTGCTGCTGAGGTTCCTCCGCCGCCATCTTTAAACAGCGCCGCACTGCCGACCGCTTCCGGGTTGCCAATTGCCCTCCTCCCGGAAGTGAGCCCCTCCTCGTGGCCCCGCCTTGGCAACGGTCCTAGCAACGGGATCCCCTTAGGCGTTGTCAAGGAATCGGCTTCCACTCCCGTGGCAGGTGCTAGCACGCCAGGCCCACCGACCTGAGACCTGTAGGAGAGGCCGGCCGCCCCGGGTCCGCATCTCCACCCCACACAGTGGTTTGGCTCCATCTTCCCAGCCTCCCAAAGTTCCCGGTGGTGATTGCAGAGCCTCCTGGAGCCAATTCCGTTTTCTTTTCCCTGGAGTTTGAAACGCGGATCGTGTTATTGAGAGAAGTAGGAAGGTGAAATTAAAATCACCAATGGCAGCATTCCTGCTGCGGGCTTCGGCACGCACTGCATGCGACCACTGCTGCAGTGCGGAGCAGCATCTGGCCCAGGAGACAGGAAGTCGGCCAACGCCAGGGCGCCCGCGGAGCCCCACATCAGTGGCCCCGCGGAGCCCGGGTTCTCTGCCGGCTTTGGTGAGCTGCTTCCGGCAGGGAGACGGCGTCCCTTGGTGTCAAGGCCAAAGCCTCAGGACCTAACTTTGGGCTCTGTGTCCTTCTGGTTGTGACAAAGCAGGGCATTTAAAAAAAAAGAAAAAGAAAGAAAGAAAGAAAGAAGGAAGAAAAGAAAGGGTCTCACTATGTTGCATAGGGTAGTCTAGAACTCCTGGGCACAAGTGATCTTCGGGCCCTGCCTGAAGAGTAGCTGAGATTCCAGCCACGAGCCACCACTAAAGCAGGGTTTTTATAAAAGCAAAGACTTCACAAAAGAGAAAAATAATGGTTGCCAAGAGTCAAGCAGAGGTGCTGGAGGGAAGTGGATGTGGCTGTGAAAGGGAAAGTCTGGATTCTTGCGAAGGTGGAAATGCGCAATACCCTGACTGTGTCAGTAGTCTGGTGTAGGCTTTACTACATTTTTGCAAGATGTTAGTGGGGGCAGGGGAGACTGAGTAAAGGATACATGGAATCTTTATAATTTATTTAAGTTCCCTGTGAATTATCTAAAAATTACGTTTAATTTTTTTTTGTTTGTTTGGGTTTTTTTTTTTAGAGAGTCTTGCTGTCGCCCAGGCTTTAGTGCAGTGGCGCGATCTCGGCTCACTGCAACCTCCACCTCCCAAGTTCAAGCAGTTCTCCTGCCTCAGCCTCTGGAGTAGCTGGGACCCACGCCCGGCTAATTTTTTGAATTTTTAGTAGAGACGGGGTTTCACCATGTTGGCCAGGCTGGTCTCAATCTCCTGACCTCGCAATCCGCCCACCTTGGTCTCCCAAAGTTTTGGGATTACAGGCATGAGCCACCACACCCAGCCACGTTTAATTTCTCAAATGGCAAAGATGGCTGGGTCTGGTGGGTTATGCCTGTAATCCCAGCATTTTGGGAGGCCAAGTTGGGAGAATTGCTTGAGTCCAGGAGTTGGAGACCAGCCTGGGCAACACAGGGAGACCCACCCCTGCATCTCTACAAAAAATT